TAAGAAATAGACCTCATCCCTTAGCCAGTATTTTAAGTGTAGGTCAACTAAAACAAACATAAATTAACGTTAGTACCATTACCAACATTTTTTATTGTTTTTAATTGTGAGGATGAATGAATTCAGGGGTCAAAGGTCATGATTTTGGACACTTGTGAGCTGGAATTAAGACGCTAACATCTGGATCTGGAGACTGAGACCGGACAAAATTGCAAAAATTTACAGATTTAGTCTTTCAAACCTACAATGCTTTCAGCTTCTAATCTGTTCGACTGTCTTCTACTAGTCTTGACTATTTAAAGACTGTTGGAAATATCAAGATCTCATCCCTGAGCTAGTGTTTAAAGTGTAGGTCAATTAAAACAAACATAAATTATATTACCAAAAATTGTTATTGTTATTAATTGTCAGGAATCTGAAGTCATATTGTTAAATAGATTGTTAATAGAATATAATTTGATATAACATTTGCACACTGGTGAGAGGATAGGAATGAATTCAGGGGTCAAAGGTCATGTCTTCGGACACTTGTGAGCTGGAACTGAACCGCTAACATCTGGATCTGGAGACTTTATTTGCATTTTATTAGTGCAAATAAGAATGTACGGATTTAGTCTTTTTATTAATCCACTTTCAGAATAGTTTTACAAATTAAGGACATCACATTCAAACCTACAATGCTTTCCATTGAAGACACTCTATTTAAGTGTCTTCTACTAGTCTTGACTATTTAAAGGCTCTTGGAGATATTAAGACAAAGACCTAATCCCTGAGCCATTGTTTTAAGTGTGGGTCAATTAAAACAAACATAAATAAACATAAGTACCGTTACCAACAATAGTTATTGTTATTAATTGTGAGGAATCTGAAGTCATATCGTTGGGCCGAACTCTTTTGCCAGTGTTTGTGCATTAAAAATATTAAACTGTGTCACCCTTAAGTTGTTTCTAACTTTTTTTTAATGTTTATTATTATTGTGCTTTTCTTTTTAACTGTAGGTGAGAGATGTTTTCATGCAATTAATATAATCAGTTTAGAAGGAAAAATGCTGAGGGAGATTTTACCACTTGAACTTGGAACAGGAGACCAACTTTGGCTGTTTTCAAAACCCTGTTCCTTTAAATAAAATAGCCCAATCCATCATGGTAATGCTTCAAATTTTACCCTTCTACCTTTCTAATACTCTTCAATTTACCAAGAGTTTGTCATGTTACATTTAATAATTTAATTTATTTAAATGTATTGATTAACAAATGTATTTTCTTTTGGAGATGAACAGAGTAGGAGGCCCTTTTGAGTGTTTTTTATTAGGGTTTTAAATCAACACAGTGAAGATTATCTTAATTTACTTACATCTTTGTACATAATGGACAACTTTAAATGTTTAAATACATTTTTTTTTTTATCAAAGTGCTGTATGTTGCGCTAAAAAACAATGGCAAGCTAATTTTTTGGAAATTTAAATACAAAATGGGCTGTTGAGGATTTCACCACCAGATCTCAATCCAGCAAAATGGGATCTTTTTCCTTTTTCTGGCACAAAACGAGGTGCAGGCCATTCATGACTGCTGCCTTTGCATTTTAAATCCAGACTGGTCGTTTTTTCTGGCAACTGGGAGTGTTATACGCCACCTTATGGACAAACTCTGCCATGACTCCCGTTCAGCCCCACAGATTCAGAACGGCGCGTGGAAACCCGTGTTTACCTCTGAAAACAGACACTTTCTCACATTTGGGTACATTTTGAGCTTTAATAGCTAGATGTTGGACACAGTGCATTATTTAAAAAGTCTCAAGACGGCGAGCTCTTATCAGTGGGGGAAATAAGTATTTGACCCCTTGCTGATTTTGCAGGTTTGCCCACTTACAAAGAATGCTTATTTTTCCTCATCAGATGGTTATCAATTTTTATAAATTCATATGATGTGATTTTCTGGAATTTTCTTTGGGATTCTGTCTTTCACTGTTAGAATGTACATATGATTAAAGTTATAGATCGTTGCATTCTTTGTAAGTGGGCAAACCTGCAAAATCAGCAAGGGGTCAAATACTTATTTCCCCCACTGTATATGTTCAAATCTAAAACTAGAATGTGTGAAGATGCTTGTTTTTGTTTCATTTTTAACTGTTCTTAGTATAATATTCCTAAGTGACGATTTTCCCTTTAAGCTTTATTTGGAGACGTTTGCTAACAGACTTCAAATTTCCCATTTTTGTGCAAAGCTAATACTTCACATTTTCCACATGGTGAAATGTTAAATGTTACAGTGGGGGAAATAAGTATTTGACCCCTTGCTGATTTTGCAGGTT